TTGTGGGAAATTCCAACATGTACATAACACATATTCTTTTTACATCCCCCTCCATTTCCCCAGCCATCCAGGTCCTCTTCCCATTTGCAAAAGATTTATCACTCTGCTTCCTATTTTTCACTTTACTATTTACTTATGTTTGAGGTTTCTCTTATGAGAAACCATGTGCTATTTAAGCTTGTGTATCTAATTTATTTCATTTAACATTATGGTATCAAGGTGCATCCATTTTCCTACTGGCAACTCAAATTTATTGTTCTTTATAGCAGAGTAGTACTTATTTATAAATACTGTATCACCTTTCTTTTATCCATTTATTTGCTGATGGACATACAGGCCACTTCCAAAATTTAACCATTGTGAGTTGGAACTGCTATAAACATTGGTATGCATGTATCACTGTCAATGTCTTTAACTCTTCTGGGAAGCTACCTGGGAGAAATTGCTGGATCAAATGGAATTTCTAGTTTTTGTTTTGAGAAATTTTCTTTCTGATTTCCGTAGTGGTTGTACTAGATTACAAACCCACCAAAAATGTCGAAGCATTCTTTTCTCCCAGCCTCACCAGCATTTATTTGGTTTCTTGATGGTAGACATTCCTTCTGAAGTAAGATAGAACCTCAGTGTTATTGTAATTTGCATTTCTCTAATAGTCAAAGATGCTGAACACTTTTTCATGTATTTATTGGCCATTTGTACTTTTTCTATTTATTTCAATTGCTCATTTTAAATTTTTTTTTTATTTTGGGGTTTTTGTTTTTTTGTTTTTTTGGTTTTTTTTTAGTTCTAGATAGTAGTCTTGTTTGAAGAATCACCAGCAAAATGTTTTTTCACTCTCTTGGTTGTTTCCTTTGCTGTGCAGCTTTTTAATAGAATCCCATTTGTTGATTCATATTATTTCTTGCACAATTAGGGTTCTCTGTTCAAAACTTCCTTGCCCATACCTGTGTCTTCAAGAGTTTTACCTATTTTATATTCCAGCAGTGTGTTTTAATATTTAGATCTTTCATCTATTTTGATTTTATTTTGGTCCATGGTAAGAGACATGGGTCTAGACCGCCAGACCAGGAAATAGTTGCATATAAAGTTCTTGGCTTTGAGGTATGTTATGCATGGTCATTCTTGCTCTATACACATTAATTTTAAAAATTACCCCTTTTCACGAGGTGTGGTGGCCCAGGACTTTTATCCTAGCATTCAAGCAGGAGGATTGAAAGTTTGAGCCCAGCCCAGGCAGCTTTGTGAAACTGTCTCAAAATAGATAATATACAAGGGACATGGATGTAGATGAGTGAGAAGGCCTGAATTCAGTCTCTTAGCATCTCTCCTTGTGTGTGTGTGTGTGTGCGCGTGTGCACGCACATGCACACTCTCCTTTTTTTTTGTTTTGTTTTGTTTTCTTTTTATTGAGGTTATTGGTAACAATCTAGGTATACAATACAATTACATTCATCAGTGGGATCCTGTACCTTTACATAATAGGTCTTGATTCTCATTTTTCCCCTTGTCCCTGCCCTCCCTTCACCCCCTCCTCCCCTCCCCATTTACAAACACTTTATTTCCATTTCTTCAGTTGCTCATATTTTTTTCCTCTCCCTTATTACCTTTCCCCCACCCTTCCCACTTTCCTTACACCTTTAGCCCTTTACTTCCTATTTCACATTATTAATTATCTCATTAGGATCCTGTGTACTATTATAGTTTTTGACACCAAAGAAACTATTCGGTATTTGTTAAAGAAATCTCTGTATGAGCATTAAAAATAGGGAATCCTAAAATAAAACTAAAAAGGAAAGTAAAAGAGAAAAGGCAATGATATAACTTCAAAATAATCCTTAATTCTGGAGATGAAAATGGTCCCTGAACATATTTAAATTGCTTCTCACTCTTATAATCTTATCTTATTCTTTTTCTCATTATTTAGAGAATACTTTATTAGTTTCTGTAATCAAACCCACGTAGATATGACCTTACATATTTAGTATGATGTGTTACTCTTGTACACATGGAAAAAATAAATAAATAAATTAACATTTCTAGACCAGTATGGTTGTCCATTTCTGTACAATGCCAAGTCAACACAGTAAATTGGGATGACTTTTTCCAAAGTTGGCAGCACCATTAAAGTTATACACACACACACACACACACTCTCCTTTTTATAACAGTTTAAAAATCTGTTAGTTCACATTGGGTTTGTAACTCAATGGTAGAGCATCTGACTGGCTTGCAAATGAGCCCCTGGTTTCAAACTTCAGTACCACACACACAAAAATCTGTTGTTCATGTTTTAAACTATTCTCTATACTTTTTTTTTTTTTCCCAGTACCAGGGGAGCAAACTCGATCTTGTGCTTGCTAGGCAGGAGTGGTACCACTGAGCTACATTCCCAGCCCATTATACTTATTTTTTTAATCCTTTAACTATTCACTTTTCAAACTTTTTAAAAAGGCAAGCCCTATTTTTTAGTGAGTCAAATTTTAAAAAGTTTACTAAATAGTTAAGTGTCGTGGTTTTTTGTTTGTTTTGTTTTAGGTACAGGCACTAGTGTGACAGTTCAGGATGCAAAGTTCTTTTTCATTATGTTGTTATAGTCAGTAACCAGTTTTTTTGTTTTGTTTTGGGTGGTAGAGATCAAATCCAGGGCCTCACGCATGCTAGCAAGCGCTCAACCACTGAGCTACATCTCCAGCCCTCAGTATCCAGTTTTATATCCAGTGTTGATTATGTACATGAGTCTCAGCTTTTGCTTATCTCCTTAAAATGATGCTCAGATACCCAGCCTTTCTTTTATTTGAGCTGTTTTACTGTTTAGCTTACCACACATATACTCTAGTAGTATCTAATAAAAAATATTAAACTTTATTTTCTCCATATTTTAATGCTATTTTAAGATAGATCTCTTTTGGGACGAATTTATCATGAAACTACAGTATTTCTTTTCGAAACATCACTGATAGAGCATTAAGTAGTTAGCTATATGACAGTAGAAATCCTAGTATCTTGACATTTGTCCCTAGGAATTCAGAATTTTAATTAATATTCCAGAGCTCATATAGTAGTATGTGAGCATTGCTCCTTTCATCATCCAAATATAAAATGTGAGTTTTAAAAATAATTTTCTCTCCAATTTTTAGGTTGGTCACAGCAGATGTAGCCTTTTACACTGGAAATCTTCAAGCCTTAAAAGGCCTTAAAGATTTGGACCTAAACATGGCTGAGATCTGGGAACAGAAGAGGTGATGACATACTAGCAAAGTGGGTATTTCATCTGACCATGGGATGTGTATGTTTCTGAAGAAAATCTGAATGCCTGTGTTTTGAGAACTGAACCTGGAACCCAAAGTGAACTGAGGTGGGGAAGGGAAAAGGAAAGTATCAAGTGTTGGGAAACTGGATTCAGTGGAATCTATAAGGAATGCCATTTTTGTGCATCTTTCGGTGAGGAGTAATTGATCAGGTGTCTATAACATTTTTCATTCTCTCTAGAAACAGACTCAGGTTTCTTTGGACCAAATCCAAAAGAACACATAGCTGTAACACAGCTGTAGTTGACTAGAATGCTCTGTATACTTTATATTAAAAATGCTTTGCATTTCTTCCAGTGCAATGAAATTCATATGGTGTCCCACCTTATTTAATGATGGTACAATTTAAAATATTAAAATCTTAGTCAACCTCTGTAGAAAGTTTTCTCTATGAAAGTAAAGCTGTTTGAAAAAAATATTTTTTTACAGATCTTTCTATTAAAAAATAAACATCTTTTGATTGCGTGGATTTAGAAATTCAATTTTTCTTTTAGTGACCAATGTCAAGTTTCAGGGTTTGTGTGCTACATAGTTACTCTTTCTTCCATCACCATATGTCAATTGGGTAAAGCCTTTTAGGACAGTCTAAAAGCTAATTACACGTAATAAAGGATAAGATATTGACATCTATTTATGCAACTAGTAATTTAAATACTTTACAGAAATTGTATAACAGAAGGCTGTTATGTTCAACAGCTGTATTTTTGTAAAAGTACCTGTGAAAGGTTTGGGTTTTTTTTTTTTTCCCCAATTTCATTTATAGCACAGATAATAAGTATTTATATACTATGCCTACTTATGAGTTCTTATTTTATCAGATAACTTATGAAGTATGGCCCCCCTTGGATTCTTGTTTCTAAGTTACTTTCAATATGTATATGAATAAAGACCAGGAAGAAAGAGAACTTTTAAAATAGAGACTGCTGTGCTGGGGCCAGAAATATCTGGTGATAAGTTAAAAGACTTTTTATAATGTCTACCTTTAAAATTAAAAATTAGACTCAGTGGCACTCTACAAATCAGGAGTGCCTGTGCCTCGCCTCACACCAAGAACCTTGCCTAACTCTGTCAAGAGTGCCTAATCTTGTGATTATTTACAAAAAAAGTCTTATTTTGTGTCTTTGGCTTCTCAAAAGGGAAGCTAACAGAGGTATGTCATTGGTTATTAAATGTCTAAAATAAAGCTGTAACACATTACTAGACTTTTAAAGGACTTTTTAAAAATGGTACAGTATACAGTTAATTTTAAACAAAGTGGCCCACTGAAAACTATGGAAGAATTGGAAAATATGACTTGATTCTTATAGAAAAGGTATAAATTTAATCACCAACAGATCTGATTTGGAAGTTTATTCATGAACATTTTTCAGTGATAGGCAAACTTCCAGAAGTAGAGCTTTAAGGAAAGGGAACTTCTTAGCTGTCACCCTGCTCTACTATACTACAGTATAAGGCCATGAAAGAAATGCTTTGCCTCTGCCCACTCCACCCCTGCAGCTGGGAAAGACATCAGTTTAAGTAAATGGAGCGTCTATGGAAATCATGGCAGGTATGCCAGCTGTAGAACTTGATGAAAGGTAATGCCTTCAAATTTAATTCCTGTGGAAATAATAATGTGTTTAGAATTTGTAGAAATGCCAAAAAAAAAAAACAAAAACAAAACAAAAAAAACCAGCTTGCACTTCAATGTTGTAAGATTAAACCCATTTATTTTGCCAGTTAATAAAATTAGCATCAAAAACTCCAAGAATACACATATATTGCTTCACTGCTTTATTGTTGAAATCACAGGCAATTAAAAGGGACTGTCAGTGAGGCTGCTGTTAAAAGATTTTTTCCAGCAGACTGCCTCACTTTTATGATTAAACAGTATTGCACTTTAATATGATTAACCTTCAGGATTCTCTCCAAAGAAGGCAAGTATTGTTCCATCTGTGCTTTTCTTAGACTAAAAGCATACTGCAGAAAAACTACTTTAAAAATCAATACTTAAGGATACAGTAACATAATAAAGTACTGGCGTATTTTAGAATCCTAGAGGTCTAGAGGTAACATTGTAAGAAACTCTTTAGCCCATAATTAGTATAAAGTGTACACAGTATTGTTCATTTCAGTGGTCCAAGATGCGAAGGTTTCCAGATACAATTTTGTTCTCTAGTACTGCTCCAGGTGGGATGTCAATTCTGTCACCATGATTTGCAATGATGATAACTGTTCCCTAAGTGACAGGGAAAACAAAAAGCAAGAGTGTACTTACAATTGCAGTGCAATTCTCTTTCAGTTACCAGTTTATGTACAACTCTGTTTATAATGGAATAACTGTAAGCAATGTTAAACCTGTACAGCAAGTGGCAGTCGTTCTATATTCCTTGCCTCCTTGTCAGAGGTAGTACCAAGAGACAGAAGTGGACCCAGTGCCTCAGCACAACTAGACTGTTTGAAGGCCTACTTGCAAAGCCACCAACATTATACAATCTTCATAAAGTAAAAGATGCTTGGTTTATATTTACATAAAGGGTTTTATGACTTAAAAGAACCATTTACATAACATTTTTCCATGTTGAAAATGAGATTTCAGAAGGTAGAATACACAATAAAGTTCAACAGATAGCGTGTTTTGATTTCTTTAACTTTTAAGGTCTTCATTTAAAGGCAAGTTGCTTTGGGCCAGGGATTTAGCTCTGTTTCCACTACCTGCCCCATAAGCACAAGGTCCTGAGTTTGATCCCCAGTAACAACAACAACAACAACAACAAAAAAGTCAAGTTGCTTTAATGGGAACAACACATGAAATGTGGACATGAGATTTCTTTAAAAATTATGAAATGACTATTTTATCTTCAGTGGTAAGCTTTAATATTTATGCCCATATTTCCCTCCTGTTTATTTTTCTAGGCTACAAGGATACTCAAAGCATCCAAGTACTGCAATAATATAACAAACATCTTTATGCCGATGATTCTTTTAACAGGAGTAGATTATATTCAGTGTAAATGAAGTTATTTTTTCTGCTTTCAAATAGTCATTTAATGAACGAATGCTAACTGTGATCCTATTTTTAAACACTATCACATACCAAAGTAGCAGCAGTTTCACTAATTAGTAATTACTAATTTGCTTTCCCATTTAAGCGTTCTAGTCCACACAATCCCTATATAAATAATTATGTTGTATTTTAACTAGATTGTACATTTGGATACAATAATAATACTAAATGCTGTGGTAATACTTTAATGCTTGTATCTACTCATTTCTGTAAAAATTTATATATCATAAACATCTAGTTCAGACTAAGAAGTATGCCTTAAAAATAAAGGTAAAGTTAGGACTAGAAAGTGAAACTTGCTAAAGCTGTAAGAAGTATGATTTTCATCATAACAACATACCTTTAATGAAACATTTTTGCCAAATGTCACATCTCCTGAAACTGTGAGGTGATCCAATTCAAGCATATCTGGTATACTTTCAAATCTTCTTAGATAATCTTGAACCTTAAATAGAAACATAAAATTGTTTTTAAAATGAGTCCACAGAAAAACAAGAGTAATATTAACAAGATAATTGAAATGACCTAAAACATTTTATGGCCAACTTCATGTCTATAGGCAGGATCTATTAAGCAGTCACTATATATAGATCTTGTGCAGGAGGCACCATGAAATATGAACACTGTCCCTATAATCAATACATTTACCATACAGTTAAAATCTTTTAAAAATAGATAATCTACCCAGGGCAGTGGTGCACATCTGTAATCCCAGCACTGAGGCAGGAGGGCCACAGATTCAAGGCCTGTCTGGGCACTTAGCAAGACCTGTCTCAAAATAAAAGGGGCTGGAGATAATAGCTCAATCCCAGATAATCAGCCATGATGTTAAGAGCCAGATTAGTAGTTCACACAGAAAAAGATCATCATGGGTTGAAGTAGGCAAGACTAGGTATAGGAATTACTGCTATTTTTTTGCTTCTTTATTTTTAGAAGTATCAGAGATTGTCCTATATGATCTTGTTTCCTATTTTGCTGGGAAAAAATGAGAAAGTTCCACTGCCTTTGACCTCTGTGCTCCCAAGCCCATTACCTTCCCTCCTAGTATTGGGACTGGAGAGCTTCCCTTGCAGTTTAAAAGCTACCCTCTGCACTTGTGCATCCACATCCTTACTCCCTGTTCAAGAATACCAGCGAGTCGGAGAGACTTCATTGTTTTTTCCTTTTTGACTGTGTCAATTCCCATCAGTGTGTATGTAAATTCTCCTATATATAAAAAAAAAATAAAGCCTCCCAAATCTTACATCCCTCTCTCCCTACAATCTAAGTTGTTTCTTTTAAAGGTAAATTCTTGAATGAGCTGTCAAAGTTTTTGTTGTTGTTATTATTTTTTGGCAGTACTGGGTCTTTACACTGATAACTCCTCAGCCCTTTCCCCATTTTTTACTATGAAACAGGGTCTCACTAAAGCACTGAGTGGCCTAAACTGGGTTGGAACTTGTGATCCTCCTGTCTCAACCTCCTAGAGTGCTGGGATTATAGGTGTGTGCCACCATGCCGGACTTTGAACTGTCAGCATTCTTATCCCCAATTTCTCTTCCCATTCTCTCAAGTCCATTCCAGTCAGATTCCTAAACCTCTCCACTGATAATTGGTGAATTCTCAGTCTTACTTGAATCAGCCAGCACCAGCATTTGATGTGATTCTCTCTGACTTGAAACTTTTTTTTTTCACCTGATTTGCAGGACACTCAGTCATGATTTTCTACCCAATTCCTCATTTGCACTCCATACCAGGTGACATAAATCAAATTCAGGACTAGAATAGACTTCAAGTGGCACAGCAGGAAATCTATAGGCATATTATCCTGTCACTATTAACCTCAAATTTTATGTAATTAAATTTTTGGGATTCCACTTGGCATGTTATGGTGAGATTTTTCTAAACTATCCTTGAAGGCTTTTTGCTCTAGATACAACCTATTATTAGTAAGGCTACCTATGGCCACCCATTGTAAAATTACACCACTGCCCAATCCAGACATTTCGTATTATCTTTCCTGACTTTATTTTTCTGCACAGATTTTTTACTACTTGGCAAAATATGTATTTATTTTCCTTCCCCTACTAGAATATCAGTACAGTGAAGACAATGATTATGGTCTATTTTGTTTACTGTTAAATCCCCACAGGTAGAACACTTCCCAGCATGTGGTAGGGGCTCAGTAAATATCTATACAGAATTAACCTCTTCCTACTGATGAAAGCACAGTACTGGTCTTGGAAGTAACAAGAAATAAAATGTCCACACATTTAAACATTCTTTTCAACTCTCTTATAGCAATCAAGCCTCACAGGTAAGATACATCTTTATCTTCTATCAAGTGCCAATCAAATGTAGAAAAACAATACTGTGCAGTAGTGGAAACTAATCTCTATTCATATACATATCTTTATAATTACTATATCTTTACAGTTACATACCTTTGTAAATGAGCTGCCTAATTTAACCAAGGGCACTGTAGGAAATTCCCGCTTTTCACTCATCGTCAGAGATCCTGCATTAAGGCTATAGAGGTTTGACATCACAAGCAAGAGATCTGATGTGGTTTTGACAGGAAGAAAACGGCTTCTTGGAACATTAATACCTAAGGAATTCTCAAAACTTTTAATTGCAGCCCCCACTGCAGTTTCTAACTGAATGACATTCAGGCCTCCATCCAAAGTCTACAAGAAACCAAAGGGGGGATCAGAGAAGAACAGGTTTTAGGCACTTAAAACTCACAATTTAGTTCAATGAGTACTAATTAACAGCTGAGAAGTGTTATCAGAGAACCACAGAAGGAAACATTGAGAACTGATATCAAGCACCTTACACTAAGTTATTTCCATTTTACAATGAAGAACCACAGGTTCAGAAAACTCAAGACAAAAAATGAGAACCAAGACCTGTCATGTGAAGGTACAGGATCCCAGTAATGAATGTAACTGTATTGTAGACCTAGATTGTACCAATAAACTCAATAAAAAGGAAAAAAAAAAAACAAACTCAAGAGCAGGTACCCATGACTTGGTCTGTGTGTCAGAACAATAATTAAGACTGTGGTAGGTCCTTCACTTTTTTGAGCCCAGTGCTCTTTTGCCTTCCACAGGTCAAATGGACATTACAGGGATGAGTACAGATTGTGGAGGACCGGGCCAGGAACTGAAGAGAGCCTGACCAGGCAAAAAAGGAGTGACTGATAGAACACACAAGCTAGAGGGAGAGGACAGTAGGGTCTGTTTGTAACCTACTCTGATGTTATAAACCATGAAACCCAATGAGTGCAATCTTGGCTTACTTTTGCATTCACAATGATTTCCATGTCAATGGCATTTTGTTCCTGCAGTCTTTTAACTGCTGCAAGAGATATCCATAGGTTGTTTGTGTTAAATATTTTAAATTTTGATACAGACTTGAACTCATCAACGTGTGCTTTTGGCACTTGAGCAATTTCCACCAGTCTCAGTTTGCCTTCATACTGAGTGAGTGTCCCACCCTAGAAAGACAGAAAAATAATGAATGCTTCCACAGCTTTCCCAGTTATAATCATAACACACTACTTATGAATCTTACAGAAGAGACACTGAAACAGTCTCCCAGTAAACAAAGAAACAGGTGCTTGAGGGTAGAACCAAAGGAAATTACTAAGGCTCTATCACTTTACTATGTATATACACCATCATTTCCCTAATTAAAGACCTAGAAGTACATCAGAGTCCTCTCTTTCCTAAAGTCTGCTACAGAAATAGCTCACTGCCCATCCCCAAACAGCAACACCTGTCACCTCAGTCCCTCCTGAGACTGGCTCCAGGACAAGAGGAGAAAAGAGACTGATGTACAAGTGTATATGAAGTAGCCTCAGGCTAGAAATGTTCTTGCAGTCACTTGGCCATGCCAGTGTGGAAAAGGGGATATTTGGAAGAAATATGGAATCTAAGCTAGAGACTGTTTTAGTATTTGCATTACTTTTCTTACTTGCTGTAAAAAAAGTAGTAAATCCTTGTGTGTCATTTTATCAAGTATCACAACTACCAAGCATGCCAGGTGAAATAAATTTGTACTGTAGCAAAATAACTACATATTTTTGCAGGCACTCCAAAGATATTACATAGACGGAACAAAAATTATATAAAAACATTTTGTAGAAGATAATTTTCATTAAAGGAACCACAAAATAAAAAACCTAGAAGATTAAAGATTTGAATAAACTTATTGAAAGTGTTTTCACATGCTTCAGATTTGTGACTATACGTGGAAATGTTTTCAATTAAAATTAGTGACAGATTATCCAAAAATTAAAAATGATTTTAGTACTATTAGCTCTGGATTTATGATACAGAACTGTTACATTAGAACTTAAGGTACTCCACACAGTATTATTTCACTCTTACCAAACAAATGATGTTAAATGGATTAATGTGTTCTGCTTAAAATAGAAACTTTCATATTAGAAGAAAATATAACCTATGAAATGTGAAAACATGAATCTTTAATTTGCTTCCTCTCAGTACTTACCTTTACATCTGCACGTGTTTTATTTGTGACTTCCATGACAAATTCACAGCGTTTTCCATTGGGTGGGTTCATTAGATGATTAAGAATATAAAGATCCACTGTGGCACCCAGATTATCAATGTTAGACACAAATATATATTCTTTGCCTTCTCCTATAAAGGTGTCGAGGAAACCAGAGTTGTAGAAACTGGCATAGATATCACCATGACCTGGAGGGTACCAAGCTTCTGTATTTTCACCTGAGTAAGATACATCCTTTGCTACAGGAAGTAAAGATTCTTTATTAATCCTTGGATACCTTAAAAATAAAACAGAACAAAAGTTCTTTTGCAGTATCTACTCTGAGCATTCCCAGACTTTCAAGAAAAAAAATGCATTAAAGTTAAATAAAGTTTCCTTTTTCCAAGTCTATTAATAATAATTAAATTATAGGTGAATCCATTTAAGAAAACCATTATCTGTGTTGACTAAAATCTGTTTCCTACACAGTATTACTTGTTGCAAAGAAAAAATATTTCCTTGGTCATACAGATGGGAAGACACATATTTTAAAGTTATTAAGATTTTATGACTCTTCAAGAGGACGGACATATTCTGTCAAACTTACTTGGTTGTGGGATGACTCTTTTCCCAGAAAACATGTCTGGGGAAAGTTACCCATTCCTACAAGCATACTATATTCCAGGGTGGTTCTCTTCCCCCAGAAAGTGAATAGCAGACTAGCACCCCAGATGTCTGCTTCCCATCATCAGTGAGCACAGTGGTAAGAGATAGTGATGGGAAAAGGAAAACAAGACAGCACAACATCAGACTGAAGACCAACAAAGGCAAACCATCTGTAATGGGAAAAAGCGTCCATGGGAAAACAGATTTTCAAAAACGGAACAGTCCAACTTTAGACATATTCCCTCTCTACAGTTTATACAGACTGGCTAATGTCCATTCTTACATGGAAGCCTTATTCTGGGCTTTATCATAATTCATCCTCTCTTTTCTATTCATTCCACCATCCCCCAAAGTAAACTAATTTCTCTATAATTATTTAGTTACCCCAGACGTATTATTCAGGATGAAGAAATTCCTACCCTCGGGAAAGGTTACCAGTACTGCAGAATGCAGAAAGATTTTCACAGACCCACCTGGAGACCAAATACGCTCCTGAAAGCAAAGACCTAATTATCCTCAAAGACTCTGGACATGGAACAGATTCTCAAGCAGATACTCTTAAAAATTGCAAATTATAGACCCAAAACTGATTAATCGCACAATGAAAAAATATTCAGCTTTTAAAAGGCATCATGCATTTGCAAGCATTGATCTTTGGCACATATGCAGGTTGAGGCTGCTTTGTTACAAACTAGGCAAAGAAGTCCTTTCCCAGGAGTTGTACCTCTACAGTTTATATTTTCACTCCTTGTACCTGCTTTGATTGAAAGTGTAGATTTTCACACGACAATGATTGTACTTCTGTAGTATTTTTTTGGTATCTTCATCCGTGTTAAAAGAGTTCATTAAAACAAGAGGAACATCTGTATTGTAGGTTTTGTTCAAATGCTAGGGAGGAAAATGGCAATCAGATTACTCAGATTTACATTTCTTTTGATTACAGACATATAGGTACACATATTTGCCATCATTTCTTAGCATGAACTTATTTACTAAACAATTTGCCATATACTCAATAAATCATAACCCTTTGAGACAGAAACTACTATCTGCATTCGTGACTGACTAAACTGATACTCAGCTTGGTTCCCCAGGGCAATCTGACTCTGGAGCTGTGTTCAAAACCACAGTACTCTTCAGCCTTACTGGGTAGACACTGGTGATTAGCATTTGCTCTGTGTTCCCAGCTTTTGTTAGCCAAAAGCACAAATTTTACATACATGACTCCCTATTCTCAGGAAAAATGGTCAAAAATTCTGAATCAGACCTCAACTCTTCAATCTCTCAGAAGAACTCAGAGGTAAAATAGAGTGGAAGAAAAAAAAACTTAGGCAGTCAGACTGTCCTATATTCAAACTTTGATTCTGGATTTAACAACTTGATAGGGAGCCTTGGGAAAATAACAATCTCATTGTGCTGTGGCTTCCTCATCTATAAAATGGTGATGATAACAGTACTTTTCTCACTGAATTGGTGAGAACAAATGAGTCAATTCATGGCAAGAGCTTAGAGTACTTGGTGCACAATAAGTACTAGACAAGTGTTGGCTGCTGCTGCCACTGCAAAGACTAGTTGACAACACTATACTATAGACAACAGAGAAACAGAGATGGAAAAGACAGGGCCACTGCCCCAAAGAGCTTACAATCTGTGATTGATGAATGCATAAAAGGGAAGCTAAAAACAATTCTTAGAATCTAATAGGATATATGACATTATTTTTAGCTTCCCAAAAGGGGTTAATAAAGATAGATCATTCCAACTATCAAGAAGGCTGCCACTAGAAAGATAGTGGAGAAGGGCTGATCAAAGGAGACTCTGAACAGATCGAGATTTCAGCAGCCACAGATGCTATTTAAAATCAGAAGCCTTTATATCACCCCAAGGATGTGTTCTTAAATCTTTCCCTTCACCAATAGAGACTAAAGATAGCAAGCTCTTTAATTAGCTCAAATGCCATATGCTACATTTAATAATATAACATTCATGATAACCTAGAAACTACTTTAGCATCTCTTCAGAAAGTCCAAATGTTACTCACTTCAATTTGCTGAACAGTCAAATCCAAAAAGGTATTCTCATTTCTCACACCAATCAGACTTTTAGGGCCTTTGCAGCCCATGCTGGTTCCCAAACCACCATTGAGTTTTACTACCACTAGCTTGTTCAACACAGAAGATATATTTTCAGGCAAGCCTCTGGCCTTTATCTTCTCATATGGTTGAATCTGAAAGGAAAAATAAAATTATAGGAGTAATTCAAATAGCTTTAGGAAAAGTTAAAGCAAGACAATCCCAGGATCATTTCCACTCTTCCTTAACAAATTTTGGTTTCTTTGTGGAAAGTTTCAACTACATTTCCTTTAACATCACAGGACCTTCTAGTTCAAAATCAAGAACTTACAGGCCACTTCTCTTGCACACAGTAATAGTTCATTGGTTCTTCTGTATAATAATGGGAGTATAAAATTGGAATGTTGTAGTCTATACATATGTGGCTGGTAGGGACATCTAAGTCTCTTGGACTATCTTCAGAACCTTAGGATTTCCAATATGCATCAAGTTTAAACATTTCTGGGGCATCTACTTCAATTCTGAAGAAGAGATAATCATACATTTTTCTTCCTACTACAGGAAGCAAAAACCAAAACATTTGTTCTTTGTCATGCTCCTCCATTCCATCCTGCGTTTGCCCTTGATAAGAGGGTGGTACACTTTGAAGTCATATGTCTAGGTATTTATAAGGACAGAATTATTTCCTCAAGAATTTAACTCTCAGGTTTTCTCACTGTGCCAAGAAATACCCTGGGAGGGTAAGAGCAAGGGTTTGGGCTTAAGAAAATACCAAATAAATCTCCATCCTAGGAACCTCATGTATTTTTCTAAGCAAAGAGTCTTACTCTTCAATTTCTCTCTTACAAGAAAAGAATCATGACACTTACAGTAGAGACTCAAGATTTTTTGTTCAAAGCGGAGGCACAAACAAGCCTCAGCATCTTATAGCAAGAATGAAAGCTTTTAAAAAGATCACAATGTATTTTCTACCCATTTGTGATGTTTTTGTTATTTTGCTTCAAAAGAACAGATCATCAAATGGGGCTTTTTAGTTACATTAGTATAGGTTAGATGACACTATATATGGACTGAAAGAATACAACCAAACAGTAGATGCTTTATGATCATTAGCTGTTACTTGTTCTATTACCCATAGGGATTTGTGGTGGGAGCGGGAGGGAAAGGGAGCAAGAGGAAGAGAGAGGATGAGGAAAAGATGGGTGCTATTTGTGATGGACGCTGTTTGTGATGGACTGCAGTGATCTAGTCTTATGGAGGCAAAAATCTTTTTGGTCAAACACATATATGTAGCACATGTAGATTCTGACCATATAAATCCTACTGTACAGCTCCTTCCACAAAATACTAGTGTGTAACTCTTGTTTCTTCTACCCTGAAATATATTATATTAACGTGAACTAATACACTTTCTTACTTGGAATAAACACAGAGAAACACAAAGCATTCTTCTCCAAGGCTTTCTCCTGGTTATCCCTGGTCCTGTTATTCCTAACATTAGAAGAGTATCAAGTCATCCTGATTAAAACTGTTAGTGGCCTCAGAAGCCATTCCCACTCATAAGCCCACAGAAGGTCTAGCGACAGAAAAGATGGAGGAGACAAACATGCAGTGCTACCTACATACAGGGATGCTCCCCAGAAAAGAAGATAGGGAGGTAGAAAAGAACCAGACACTCTGGTCACTTCCCTAGCAGCAGCACTTGGTCTAGGTGAGGACAATGTTAACAATCTGGATTCCTGACACATGCACAGTACCCATGCCTACGGAACAACATTCCTTGAAAGATGTTTTAATTTGGCTCAACTGCCATGAATATCATCTGTTCAGCATTTCAAAGAAACTGACAGGGCTGCTTGTGAGAAAAAGGTCCCAATTTAAACTAGAAAAATAATGGTAGATGACACTGCTGGAACTTTTTGTCACTTTTATGTAATAAAGCAGTTTATAATCCATCCTTTCTAGCACAGGTAGAAATCAACCAGTTGGTAAAAGGAATGGCTTGAAGTAGTCTTTACTAGGTTAGGAAAATTTCTTGGGCACATAATAATATTCACCCAAAAGAGTTATCAAATGGGACCAATACAATTATTTTCCAATTATTTTGTAAAAGCCAAGAATTTCCATTTATCAGTTTCTTTTCATTTCCCTGCAATAATTTAATATTCACAGAGGTCTCACAAGGGTATGAAAATCAATTTAATTAAAACCCCCTAGTTTTTGCATTTATTTTAGGTAAAACTGTTAGCTCAGAAATATTCTTACCTATGTAATGCTTTAAATATGCTTAAAAAACAATATACAGAAGCAAACCTTCTTCCTATACCTAATAAGAGAGGCTTATTTTCTAATTCCATCTAAAAATTTTAATTGTGGGGCCGGGGATTTAGCTCAGTGGTTCCAGTGTCTGCCTTGCCAGCGCAATGACCCAATTTCAATTTCTGGTACCAAAAAAAAAAAAAA